TCTCCCTATCTCCTAGTCTCTATCTTCTCTATCTCCCCTCTCCTTCTATCTTCTCTCTCTCCCCTCTCCTTCTACACCCACCCCTCTCTTCATCTCTTATTTTCCCCTTCATCTCTATAACATTCTCTCTACCCCCCACACCCCCCCCCCCCTCTCTCTCCTCTCCCCTTTCTCTCTCTCTTCAGATGAAGGGATGTGGGACTCGTTTATCAGGCTCCTCCCCCCCAACAGTAGGTCGGTAACCGTGGAGATGGACCGTCTGAGGTCAGGGGTCGGATATGAGTTCCGTGTCATCGCTGTCAATCGCTACGGTTATGGAGAACCCAGCACGCCATCCACCGCGCTCGCCGGTAAACACACACACACACACCTGACACACACACACACACATACACACCTGACACACACACATACACACCTGACACACACACACACATACACCCACACACACACACCTGTCACATACACACACATACACCATATTATTATTATATTATTATTATTATTATTTACCTGACACACACACACACACTCACAGTAACACAGTCTCTGTTGTGTAACACTGTGCTGCCATCTAGTGTCAGCCTGAAGCAGCTCCAGCTTTAACAGTAATACCAGCAGCCTTTCACCAGGCTGGCTATAAAGGTCTTCATAACAGGGATGTGATGTGTCTCCATAGCGCTGTGGGACGGTCCGTTCTATGAGGAGTGGTGGTTCCTGTTGGTCCTTGCTCTGATTGGTCTGATCATGATCCTCATGTTGGTGTTCGGCCTCCTGCTGCACGGACACAACCGCAAGGACAGGACCTGCAGCACAGGTAAACACACAGGACAGGACCTGCAGCACAGGTAAACACACACCTAACACACAGGACAGGACCTGCAGCACAGGTAAACACACACCTAACACACAGGACAGGACCTGCAGCACAGGTAAACACACCTGACACACAGGACAGGACCTGCAGCACAGGTTAAACACACACCTAACACACAGGACAGGACCTGCAGCACAGGTAAACACACACCTAACACACAGGACAGGACCTGGAGCACAGGTAAACACACCTA